CAGAGCCGAAGAGCTTTGAAAGGTCAGGGTGGGTCACCTTCCCTCTCCTTACCCCTCCAAGGGAGTGAGGCTCCTGGGGGTGTCCTGTCCATGACCTCAGTCAAATTCCCAAAGTCCTAGCTCCTTGAAGCTCACCCTGGGAAGTGGCGGCTTGGGAGAAGACGCCAAGAGCAGGGCTTGGAGGCAGGGAAAGGGACCTCCCCCTCCCATTCGCTGAGCTCCCAGCAGAACAAAACATGAAGGATGCCCAAAGCAGGCTGCAAGTGACTGCGGTAACCCACACGCGCGCATCTAATGATTTTCGCGTAAAATGCCCTCGGTGCGAGACGATCGAGTCACAGGTGGGTGGGCTGGATGGGAGCCAGCCCAGAGGCTCGCCGGGCCGTGCCTCAGCAGGCCGGGGACTGCACGCACAGTCATATCGGAAGGTAAGGAAATCGCTTACCTGACGTGAGGTCCCTCCGGAATGTGAGGTCCCAGCCAAGTGAACTCTGTGACCCGCCTCCTCCCCCAGACCCGCGGGGCAGGCCAGACACTGGGCAGGCCAGGGCAGTTCCGGACGCCCTCCCTGGCAAAGACATTTGCTTCTTTGTAAAAGCATGTACAGAAAGACCACACAAGTGGATCTCCAGTGACATTCAAATTACCCTCTGGGGACAGGCTGGTAGCCTTGGCCTGGCTGTGGACAAGGCTGGCACCCTGCAGGCCACCGGAACAGGAAATGCAGGCACTTTGCAGGTGCTGGGAGCCGGATCTCTTCCTGCAGCCCTGCAGTTCTGTGCCACGGAGCCCCCGCGTGCAGCCCCTTCTCCCCACCTGGCTGAGCCTGCGTCTCCCGGAACTTCGGGCACCCCAGTTATGCTCAAATCCTGTCTCAGAGCTCAGATCTGCCTGGCCAGGCAGGGAAGTCCAGACTTTTTCTACGCAAAACCTAACTTGCAACACCAGGCTCTGAGCACTGGCGAATTAGTTGGTGGCTTCTAAAGAGAACATGATACCATAGTTGTCTGCCCCAGGCCAAAGCCTGAGCTGTCGCCAGACACTGCACTTGTGAATGGTGCTCTCTGCTCTCTTGGGCCAAAGCTTCCATCACCGCTGACGAGAAGGACAGCTCGGGTCAGCATGTTAAACACCGTGTTGTTCACGTGTGATTTATCTGCACATCTGTAACCCCAGGGCCAGGCCCCACCGTGCACCAGCACTTTGGAAGGATGCCCAAGACCGAGACCCGGTGCAGTGGAATCGGATTTCCTGGTAGCTGCTCTTGGTGGCAGATGCTCAGAAAACACAAAGATTGAACTGAAAGTCCCTCTCCCCAGGGTTGTCTTGCTCCGGGACACAAAGAGGGAGGACAGTGGGGGACGGTTGCCCCAGGCGGCCACTCATGGCTTGCCAGGCTGCTGTCGCCCACACCAGGCAACGGCATTTGCACAGAATTGGCCAGGGGCCTGGCCGGCAGGCCGAGGTCTCAGTTCACACCAGAGCATAAGCGGAGCAGCGCAGACGGAAAACGGAGATCTGTGGTGGTGACAAGGATGACAGCTCCCGCAGAGGACTTGCCGTGTGCCCAGCAGGGCTGTGACCGCCGCAGGAAACCGAGGCCCAGGGAAGCCAACGACGTGGCGGCAAAGGAGCCCTCCAGCCTCACCCGATCCAAAGGCCCTCCCCAACGCGGATCACAACCGTGAGGACAGAAAACGCTATTTCCCATCGGGGAGCCTTGCTACCAGGGACCTCCCAGGGCCCATGGTCTCCCCTGCCCTGGCAATCCCAATTCCCCGTGGGGCTCTGCCATCCCAGAAGTGCGGGCGACTTGGGCTCATCTGTCCCCTAAGACGACTCTGACCTTGTGTTTCTCTCCTTTGGGGAGCTGTGTGTCTGCTGCCTGCCCACGTCTGGGCTGCCCTGTAACAGTCCCTCACCGAACACGGCCTGGCGTAGACCGAAACGTGCCACGCCACACTCTGCGACCAGGACGTGAAGCTGCGCTGCACCTGGGGTGTGTCCCCTTCAAGCTTCAGCGACATCCTCTCTCTCATGCAAAGCAGTGAAATCATAACTTTAAATATGTTTTTAGGAACTTTCTCTCGAGCCTTTACTGCAAGGTCAGAGCCCGAGACTTTGAAATGATGAAATGATGTTTCCATCATTTCCAAGACTTGGTGTCAATTTTCATTAGGTCGAAACGGCCATTTGTGTAAGTCGCAAAAGGAAGAAGAGGCCGTCTCAAACGATTCAGATGAGACATATGCAAAATTCACAGAAAATAAAAATGAAATATGGCCAAAATACAGAAATCACTAACAGGATTCTAAGTGTTCTCCAAAGCATGAACCACCAGCCAGGTCATGTTCGGACGTCACGCGCAGCCAAAGCGCCGGGAATGCCACTTTCTACAGGCTGCGCAGCCACCTGGCCACCAGGGTCAAAGGTGGTTTCCGGGCTGGCCGTTAACCTGCCCCACAGCCTGGGGATGTCTCTCTCTACACTTCCCTTCCAACAAGATCAGTTTTCCTCAAAGTGTCCGCGTGCGTAAAGCCCGCCAGAGTCGCGCAGAGCGGGATGTGTAAGTACAAGCGTTCAGGCCCCAGTTCCTCGGGTGCCGAGGAAGATGATGTCAGAGAATGAAAACTGGCCACAAAATGCAAAGGCCTGTTCCGAGTCTCCCAAAGGTGCCCGACAGGCAGCAGCACGGCCCCCACGAGACCGCAGGGAGCCAGCGGGACCCGGGCTCTCTCTTTCTCTTTTAATTATTTCCTCTCCAAAAAATAAATAATAAAAATCCCTAAACCCTGCCAGGACAGAGTTTACTGAGTTCAGAATGTTCCGGGGCACATAATCAGGCAGCCCTTGTTCCAAAGCTGCTGTGCTCTGTGGCTGACCTCCTGTGGGCCCCTCCCTGCCCTCCTGACTGCTCCACGGCGAGGAGGAGAGAGGACAGTCGGCCTCAGCCAGACCCCGCCACGCAGCCGCCCTGTCCCGCTTAGAGACCCCACGGCAGATCGCATGGGGCGTGGCTGGGCCAAGGCCCAGGACACACGGCAGCCCCGGGGGCTTCTCGAAATGTCTGGGCACCAGAGTTAGCCTTTGAGGACGGGACCAAGGGCCTGCGTTCTGTAGTAACGCGCCTGAAACGTTTTTCCCGGGTTCACGGTTCAATTGGTGCCCGCGAAGGCGGCCTGGGAGCGCCTGGTGGCGCTGAGGCGGGTCGAGGCCCCGAGCCCGCGGCAGGCAGCCGTGTTTGGCTAGAATTGAATACCTCGTCGCTTCCTTTTTATCACCGATTTCTATGGCAACCTCCCTATGGTAATCGACACTGACTCACCTTTTCAAAAATAAACTCACCCTTTTAATAAAATATGTGAATTGTTTAAAGAAAAAACACTGTGTAAATAACAGTTTCAGGGGATGTGATCCAAAGTTAAGTTCTGGGAACGCTGAGTCCAGTCCTGCCTCAGACGTGTGAAGTGCTCGCCCAGCATCGCATCAGAAGACTCTGCTCACACGCCTCCCGAGACGGGGAGCTCACCCCCTGGAAAAGGCACCTTCGTCAGCTCTGCCTGCAGGTTCCACAGCCAAGGCCAGGGCTGCACAGGAGCCGGAGGCCCTTTTTCTCGGGGGAAGTATCAGAGCGCGCTCCTGTCCCCTCCTGGTACTGCCTGGGCCTCCTCGGCACAGCCTCATCCTCTCGGAGGGAACTTCTCTAGCCGGGAACCACAGTTGGTGGTGTTTCTCTTAAAAGGCAGCCTCAGGAAGGGGCAGTGGCCTCGTCTCAGCTTCCAGGCATGGGGGGCTGCGTGGGGACCGCCTGGAGCCTCGAGGACACCACCAGGGACTCTGGTGGCAAACCCCACCCTTGGAAGGAAGGAAGGACATTTCATAATTAACGGTTCGGGGTGCGCGGGCATTTTCCACAAGCCCCAGCTTCTCCTCTCTGCTGTGCCCACCCCCGCAGGACCAGACCAGGCCCTGTCTGCGCCCTGTGTGCCCCTCGCCCGCCCACAGTCACCGCCCGGTCATGTCCCCTCACCCAGCTCATCTCAGGGTCCACACACATGCACACGCGCACACACACGCTTGACTTTCGTAAACTTCTTTTAAAATAAATTAGTTTTCCTGAAACTAAAAAGGAAAGATTTGCGGAGTGTTACCGTGGCCACCTGTTAATAATACTCAGCAACTCCTGAGTCCCTGCGAGCGCCCTAGCCGGCCGCTTTACTCCTTTAATGTTTCCTAGGCCCTTCGGGGAAGCGCCGGCGCAGAGGGGAAACCGAGGCGCGGAGAGTCAGGCAATGTGTTCGGTCCCTCC